AAGGGGGTGCGGGGGAGGGCGCAGCGCCTCCCCCGCAATGCAAATCAAATATAGACAGCGCTGGGCTGCTTCGTTTCTTGATTTGTATTTGGGTGTCAATGCTCAAGGTGAAGGTCTTATCATCCAACTTTGTGGCAGTGTCAATGCAAAGAAGATAGTCAGCAGAAGCAAAAGCAGAAGCAAAAGCAAAGGCAGAAGAAAAAAACAAAAGCAAAAGCAGAAGGAAAAACAAAAGGCAAAAAAACAAAAACAAAAGCAAATGCAGAAGCAAAAGCCAAAAGCAAAAAGCAAAAGCAAAAGCAGAGCAGAAGCAAAAGGCAAAAGCAGAAGCAAAAGCAGAAGCAAAAAGCCAAAAACAAAAGCAGTAGGGAAAAAAACACGAAAAAAATACCGGAAAAAAATACATTCAAAAAAAAAACATCACAGAAAAATAGGGGTTCCGTGGCAAAACTAGGTGCACAAAGTTTGGTTGGGAAGATTGGGCCCAAAAGATGTTGATTGGCTTTGTTACAAAGGGTCAAACATGGATTAACAATCCAAAGGGTGCTCGAGCTCATCATCCAGCTCAGCAGAACAATCCAACAGTGGAGTTCCAGGTCTTGAATTTATTTAGACACTGAAGATGGGACCCCTAGAAAGGAAGTTTCGGAGCATCCCTCTACAAGCAAACAAGTTGGTCTTTGCACGGCTCTTCGCTGTGCTGTTTCACGGCGATCCGCCCTGGCGTCTGACGCGGCTGAGCAGCAGGCGGAAGGGCAGCTCGGGCGGGTCACTAGAACCATCCTCCCGGAGGAAGGCCAGGTAGTGCGGATGGCTGTACATCCTCAGCGCAGGAATGGATCCTCCGGTCATGCGTTGGGAATTAACACTCGGATGGGGTGATACGAGCCCAAATGTAATGAATATATATATATATACAGTATTATATATATATCGTTGATTTAAATATCTCAATGAAACATTGGTTTTAAGTAGTTTTAAGGGCTCATGGGTGTGTGGGTGCGTTGAACCGAGAATCCAGAAAGGCTGTACGTCCTGACATGAACGGGTCCTTCACTGCACTGATGTGAGATCGAAACACCAAACCAGCAGCAGATGGATTCCAAAAACCCACCCACCCCTGGTCAGCCCACATCACCTCCAAGCTTCTCCGCCGACCTGGGAAAAACCCAGCCACATCCAAAGCCACGGAAGCCCCCACCGTGCACCGCGTCATCGGCCAAACGCTTGCGGAAGGCGTCGCGCGCCAAGGAGAGCACGGAGGCGATGGAGGTATCCAAGCCTCAGGCGGCTCAGGCTACATTTGCAGCCGTGCCAAGCACCGAAAGATACTCAAAATCCCACAGAGGGGAAGCGGGATGAGTGCTCCCAAAAGCGACGCTGCCAAACGAGAAAAAAATTATGCATCATGAGGTTCTTGACCTTCACAAGGGTGCAACACTGCAACTGGGGAAGTCCAACCCCGACGAGAAGCCTCCGAGTTTGCTTAGCTAATCCAAGCCAAAGACCTGAAAACAAATAAAAACTACATCCACCTAAAACCTGGGTGTTTGTATATACATGTATATACCCAAAACATGTACAACATACATTCATCAACACACCAAATTCTATCATCCATCTTTCCACCCTTGGTCCGAGCCACGGCCCTTGGAGCTCAAGGAGGCAGAACCCTGCCGACGGAGCAGGTCATCCAGCTCCTGACGGAGCCACTGGCCATCAATGAATCAAAGGGCAGTGTCTTGGTCCGGTGGACTTAGCAAAATACACATCGATTGCTTGAGTAGCGTCTCTCCGCGTCCTCATATGTCCTCATGGAAGTGTACGGAAAATGACCCCTGGAAAGACCAAGGGGATGTCCATTTCCATGTTTATTGGAGGGAAGGTAAATTGTTTCTATGATCTCCTTGTTGTTTTTTCTGGAAGAGCGCAGCACTTGGAGGGCTTCGAACCAAAGAACCAAATTGGCAATAGTAAGTCTCCTTCACATTCCTTCACCTTAGATGGGGCTGGAGCAGCATTTTATAGTACAAGTATTTTGTCCTTGAACAGTTACCCGCTCGTCAAGCTAACTTCTTCATTGACTTTCATCTGTTTCCACACGCACTCCACGACGACCACGGGGGGTTGCTGCCGCTCCATGGTGGGGTGACTCGTCAACTGAGCCGCGTGGCAAACCGCTATTCATGAGGACAACGTTTAGATCGACTGCTTTGTGCCTGCCACAAAATCTACACATCTACACATCGAGGTTCACTCTGCTGTGCCTGCCACGAACTCTGCACTTCGAGGTTCACAAAGCGCTGCGCCTGCCACGAAACCTGCACAATCGAGCCACAAGTCCATAAGTCATGATTCACTGCACCTGTCACGAAATCAGAGCGCCTTGAAGATCACCACCATGTCCAAAGTGCTGCACCTGCCACGGCCACCAAAACACGAGGTTTCCCTTGCGCCTGCCACGAAAATTCACCATCATGTCCGAAAATGCGCACAGCACCACAACGAGAGGGCAGCCGCGAGAAGCACCCGCTCCAGCCAAGCATGCTTGTACGCGTGGCATTCCGCCATGTTGATTTCTGGCTGAGCTCAGCTGCACTTCATACGGGACAGCTCTTGGCTTCTGAGTTGGATTTCATACCCGAGCCCCCTCTCACTGGCTTTAACTTTGATGGAGCTGGTGATGCCTAAAGGGCCTAAAGCTTCCAAGTTCTGCTTGAGGGCGGTTTGCTAGACAACGGTCTTGCACGGGGAGAACGTGCTTTGAAACAGCGTTGAGTCCTTTTGCACTGGGCTCCCCCAGGACACTTGAGCCACCGACCGGCTAATTCAAAGGGCAATTTTTTCTTTGGCCGTCTCTGCTAGCATGTTTTTTGTCAACTTCCAGTTTTGCTTTGTTGCTTTCCACTGAGCACCTACGCATTGCTGGCTGCATACTGTGTTTCAGGCAAATCCTGCCTTTAATTCTTGGGCTACATCGCCCTGCATGATGCGAGGTTGTTGCTTGGACTTGAGCACCGATAAAAGGCGGCTCACGCCACAGGTGGGAGCCCCCTCGGGTGGTCGCTCTTTCTGTGCCATCCTCATAGGGTCATAGGGTTCAGGATGCCGTTTAGTGGAATGCTAGCGGCACTGTCTCACACCTGATTTGTGAGCGCGAGAGGTAGAAGAGATTTTAGAATCCAAATGTGGAGGGGGTTATTCATCAGCCGTCCGCATTACTATTTCCCAATGAATGATTCTATGCGTTCACCATCCTTGACCCTTAGACATCCTGTATAGGACCCTTTTTCACCAGACCCGCCGATGGGGCTCCCTCCACCCTCCGTTTTCTGCTGCGCCTCCTGCAGCTGCACCTTGCGCTTGGCACCCCAGCGCTTGTAGTGTGAGATCTCCAGAGTAGGCACCAAAAAGTCTTCTCCAAAGACCTGGAGGATCAGATCTGTCACCGAAACTTGGTTCTCTTCTTGGGTTTTATATACACAGGTTTACAGAGAATGAAAAGAATGGTCGGAATTCTGAAGGTAAATGGTAAATGTTACATTCAGGACTTAAATGGGAATCTTCAACCTGAATCACAATGATACAAAATGATATTCATATTCATAATCTCGGTCATCGTCGTCCAAGAGCTTTAACACGTAGACGATAAACTCCGATAAACATGTTGCGAGCAGGGGGTTGATCCCCAACTTGCAGACCCACCTTCCGATCAACCTCATACATTGTAATACATCCACACAAGAACATTCCCCCCGCACATCTCACCATGTGCAGTGACCCAGAACCTATGGACCCATCGAACACTCCAAACCCAAATGAATCTTCCAAGAGCAACTTAATATAATACTGGCTCTGGGGATCTCTAGGGCAGCTGTCTGCGTCTTCCCATGCCACCCCAAGGAACTCAAGGAGCAGCAATAGGCAGCTGGCCACTCCAGAAAACATGTTATGAAAACATCAAGTAGAAGTCAATTCTCCCAGGAATCCAGTCCCAACTTGGAAAGGAATTCGATGAAACACTCATCCCACTTCCACTCCAAGGACCACCCTCTCGCGATCTCGGTCGCCTCCCATTCCCCGTCCTTGGTCCACTGAGGGGACGTGGCTGCAGCGCGACCCCGTAGACCGTGGCAAGGACGTGGCGGCCGACCCCGTGGCCTCGGCCGTCGGAAGTGGTGTCGGCCTGGTTTCACCTATCTTTGGGTGAAAGTCGTCCGGAATTTAGAAGTGTCAGCATTGTCAGCATCCAGGATGTCCATTATTCATTGTGGGGACGCTGTAGGGAATGGCCTCTCAACAGGGTAAACTCCATCAGAACTGCACTTGGTAGGGAGGCAGTGTTCCCCTGAAATCGGATTTGGACCGACCAGAATCCACCCAACTTGATGGTTTCTGACCTACTGTACACCTGAAATTTTACGAATGTTCGATACATGCAGTCATGCACGTTTTTGGACCAGGTCCGTGTACCAGCCCACAAGGTAGAACAAAAGGGAACCAATATATGCATTCACAAACACATAAACTAGGCGGAGTTGCGGTCTTTTGATTCGTAGGAGAGGGACTATCAACATTTGATGCGTTTCGTGCTTTCATACTCTCACCTCTTAATGCAAATAAAGGCAGCCGGACAATCTCCGTGGTTATGGTTCTCCAGCAAAAGCGAGAGTCTTTCTGCACTGGTATTTGATAGTCTTGGGACGAGCTTAAGGATTCAAAGGCAGGCGCTGGATAAAGTTTCTACAAACAACCCTCTAACATCCTCTAACTCATTAACTAGCCAACTGACTAGTTTTCTAACCAACTACACAGCCATCTACAGTAGCTATACTAACCTTCACCAACTTCGAGGTCTCATTCAGTGTTGAACTCTTACTGTGCTATTTCGTGCTGTTTCAGCGAACGCCAGGATTTCCATAGGGTGCAACACCACGCCTCCGTGCCATGATGGGAAGGACATTCTGACAGAAGAGCTCGCCCAGGAAAGCACATGCCATGGATTCCAAGATGGGTCTTTAGTTGTCAATCAAGGTTGAGTTGGTGTTTGCATTTCAAAAAGAGAAGTAATACACACTGAAGCAGTATGAACTTCCAACAGGGGTGATGGACGAACATCGCGTTCAGCGGCTGAGCTGAGAAAGGTCCACACTCACCAATGTCTTTTTCACCGTTGGACAAACGTCATGTCGTGACAATCGGTTACAAGCGTTAGAACACAACGTGAACGATTCGATAAGCCCCGTACTCGACTCCATGTTCCATTTCACCCAGCATTCTAGATCCTAAGGCTCGAAGCATATCTAAGAATCGTATTTAAGCCTAGAAAGGTATGATACAAACCATTGCCCAATACCATCTTGTTCTGCGCATTCGAACTATGTGCTGGCTATTTGAGCCTCAAAGGCACCGAAGGTCCCAGGTGCAGTGTCGCAGTCAAAAAAGCAACGTGACCTGGCAGTGACCTGGTAACCCTCAAGGACAGGTGTTCGCTTGGGTTGTTATCCACCCAATACAATAACAAGAAAGGGATTTGGCAATCCCTTACATACAGCACCAAAGTATGGGTGAACAGTGCTCCTGATGCAGAAGGGGCCAACGAAAGGCCCTGGGCCACGTCCCAGTGAAGTGACACAGATCTCCAAAAGTGTTCACCCAACTTGCTGAGCTTGGACGAGCAAGGACGCTACTAGGGGCTCCTGGCCATACTACTAGGAGCAAGAAGCTACTAGGGGCTCCTGGCATCGCTACTAGGAGCAAGGACGCTACTAAAAAGTGTTCACCCAACTTGCTGAGCTCCCCTCACCCCTCGGCATTGTCTTTTTTTGCCTCGGCTTGGATAGCCGATAGCCTCCCGCCACCCAGCTGTGCGCTGTGCAAAGAGTGGCTGTACCCCGGGGCAGGCTGTGGAATCATTGGAAATAAGGGTGAGTCTCAAGCATTCTCAAGCTACCCTGTAAGTGTTCGAGGAACTTTGAGGTCCACGTTGAATGTTGTTGGGCAAATCAGCAAATCTCCAGCCAAAGCCATTCAGTCAGTTGTGGAAATGTTTACAGTTTGCAATAAGAATAACCACCCTGGCTGGAGTAGACTTCACATTTATCAAATCAAAGGACTTGTATGACCAAATACCGAAGGTTCCCAACAATGTCCAAGGACAACTGTTTTCCGCCGTAACACCCATCATGCACTTTTGGTTTTGCTGTCAAGACTCTCTAGGGAATGGATTTGTGGGAGCGTGTGGCAACAACATACACTGGCCTCTGGTGATCTAATTAAATATCAACCCACAAAAGCTGCTTGGGAGATGATTCGATGTACGTTTAATGTCAGAACATATTATCAGAAACTATTCGAAGCAAAAAACTGGCATTTGGTCCCATATTGTAGTGAATTCCTCCTCTTGTACAAGGCCCTTGTGTGCGATGAACATTTCATTCCTACTGGAACAAAATCACGGATGTTCGATCATGCAAAAAGATGATGACTCACATTAAAGCATCTACAAGGGAGATGGAGTGAAATAGCTTTCCTCCTAATTTCTCATGATACCCATGAGGAGTATGTTCACAACATGTACTTTGATTCTTAGCACGTCGCAATGCTGTGCCGCCAGGGTGCTTTAGCTCTCATTCTCAGGTCTCCTGCCTGTGGCAATGTCAAGCGCGTCACAGCGGCCCGAAAATGTAAAAAGACAGAAAAACATCCAAATCGGTCATGAACTATTTTCTATAGATTCCTATAGGTTTCTCACAATCAGATACAGTCAGGAGATCTCTTTGGCCGAGGGCCTCTTTTCATTCCAAGAAATTGGAGTGTGCACACTGCATCTCTAGGAAGCCTTCTGGCTCTGAAAAGCACATGTATAATTCAATTGTCTGGCATGGAGGCACGACATATTTAATCAAGGGCGGCAGTCGGCCAGAAACAGCACCAGCTTGATTGATATCACTGCATGTTGACTCTCCTTCTGCTCCCGCTGCATCATCATCTGCTTGTAAAAACTCCAAGCTGCCCACCATGATCCTGTCTCTTTTCCAGTGGTATTGTCAAGCAAAGCAGGCATTGCTGCACATGCCGTAGCCATCACCCCTGGAGCATAACTGTCAAGTACTCGTTGACAACCCCCAGCTTTGCTGAGCCTGAGCTCCTGAATTTGTTCGTCTGCTGGCTATCTTTTGATGCCCTTGGCTGTCTTCGGCCTGTTTGCTCTTGAACTCCACAGTTCCACACGCGGGCGGTGCTTCCCTTTTCACTGCAGGATGGATTTCGATTTCATCCTGAGCCCAGCAACTTACTTTCCCAACCATACCCTGCAACGTCAAACGAAGCTAGGCATTGGCACAGCAGCTGAAATTCTCGGCTCAAGGCTGCATTATAGCCGCGGAGATCATTTCCCATAGATTCAGTAGGCTTCTTGAGCGCAGCAACTAGCTGCCCAAAACATACGCCCCTCAAGTGTCTAGTCTATAGACTATACAGTCCATATAAATATATTGCTATGGAGCTATGGGATATGCCAAAAACTATCCGAACAGAGTCTGTGGAATTTGAGCCAAGAATTTTAAGGGAGGTATATATTAAAGCAAGTAGCATATGGTTGGTTTCCAAAATGTCTTCTCCCAAAATGGTGCACTCATCGCAATTCCATGGGGGCCCGCTTCTAAATCTCCTTTAAACTCCAACCACACTCAAACCACAGGGATGTTAAGCATGAAGGCATGTCAACTGCAAAAACTGTGAGAGGTGTCTAGCGCGGACCTTTTCAGGGGCCTGTTGAGCTGCTGGAGCTGTTGTTGCTGCTACTGCTGCTGCTGGACTTGCCCATTTTTGTTCTCAGAAATCTTCAGGACATAGGAAGGATGTAAAAGCTGACTCAAAAGATTTGGATGTTTGATGGGCAAGTGGTCAAGAAATGGACCGTCGTCTAGCGCGGTGCTAGCGCGGATCTAGCGCCAGCCTAGCGCAAAAATCTCCGTCGATTTCTTGATCCTGTCAGATTCTTACGTTTCCTGCTTGCTTGTCTTCTTATTCTTCTTCTTGTTGTGCATTATTCTTCTTCTGCTTTGTTTCTTCTTTTTCTTGTCTTGCTTCTTCTTTTTCCTGCTCTCTGCTTGTTTCTTTTTCCTGCTTGCTCATCCTGTTATGAAGAAATCTAGCGCCAACCTAGCGCCAATCTAGCGCTGCCTTGCTGTATCACCATAGTCCGCTGGGGGCCCGCTTCTAAACGAAGACTTAAAAACACATCTCCAACCTTAAAAGTTTACGTTTATCTATATTTTTTGAGTAGGGCTTTTTGAGCGCAGTCCATATCCGCATCTCACAGAATTCAAGGCCAAGCTTTTTGTCAAATGCCGCGGCTGGAATTGAATTCTTTGTGCAAAACAGTCAAACATGGCTCGCACGGCTCATACTGGAAAGGAACTACAGTAAAGTTTTGCTGCTAGTCGACACCGCAAAGCAAAGGGATACCTGCGAATTAGAAGGCTTAGCCTAGCGGCTTATCTCACAAAAAAAAAAAAAACAGTTGGTAATTAGTAATTAGTGGAAGAACACCACGAACACAATAAAAGGCATACATAGCACAAGTCACAATTGCTGGGTACTAGTTGAAAGAACACCACAACATAAAACATGCTTAAGGAGCATGGAAGCTACCGAACGGGTATGAAAAACTTATGTTACGTTGCTTTACAAAGAGTGGATGTAACCTTCTGCGAGGTTGCATCAATTGTTTAGATGGGGATGGGGAGACCCCAATGTCCCCATAGGTGTTAGATGGTTTAGCCTCAGCATTATAATGCATTGATATTATATAACTATATGATGTTTCAGTCTATTCATCACTTAAGCACCGGAGGTCTCCCAATTCTCTAAATCTACACTCCCCATCCGGTCGGGATCGCCGCTCCCGTCCAGCCTCTTCGACAGGGCCGTCGAGTAGCTCGAGGCCTTCGTGGACTGCGATCTCTCGGACCTCGGCGCCGTTGAAAGAAGCATCCCGTTTGGTGGAAAAATCAATAGGACATAACCATGTGATATATATATATATATACATCATATGGATGGTGCAGAAAACATAAAAGGTTCACTGGCTGGCGCGAATAAAAAATGTACAAAGATCTATTCAACAGTCTCCGATTTGCTTGTAGGACACAAAAGTGATCCTTCGTTGTGCTTACTTATTAGACTCATGGTTTGATCGGTCCTTATTGTCCTCATCTCACGGATGTCTTGTGGGACACCCGGTTTCCCAACAAGAAAACCGGTCTCGTCTAACCCACTGGTGCCACGATGTGCCAGGTCTCCGCTTGAGAAACATGGGCGAATGAGTGGCTAATAGATCAGTGCCACTCAGAAAGCCGCCCAGTGGTGAACTGGCTCTCTTTCACCGCGCAGTCCGCGGAAAAGCTGCCAATGTCGGATTTGGTACCAATGTCCCTCCGCTCTTTCCAGGAAACACCAGGAACCAAGCAAGGCTTGTATTTCGATAGCACCTCTAGAAAATGAGTTCAGGTGTTTCTGCTGATTCAAAGAACTACTCCACCCGTTCCCCCCAAGTCTCGGGCCACCTCAGCACCCTCCGCCTGCGCTGCGCCAAGTTGGATCACTGGTGAGAGAAAGACTCCTCGCCCCGCTGCGGACTGGCCAAAAGGACTCGTTTCCAGCCTTGCAGCTTGACTGCATCTTCGTGGCGGCGACGCATTTGTAGATGCCCGTCCACTTCCTGCAAAGGTCAAACTTTCACCGGTGAATGAGCATGAATCCTTCCACTTCACCAGCAGCTCCACAAATGAAGGACTCCACCCTTTGGCAGATCTAAGGGATACATTAAGTGAAACACTAAGTGAACGATCTTTTCCAATAGATGCCTTTTAGATCCTTTCAGCATAATTATACCTTTGCGCTGATGAGGACTGTGGTGTGATAGGGGTCGCTCGAAGAGTGTGATGGTCTTCCGGACCAGGACTCTTTCGGACTGTCCATCGGGCAGATCTTCTTGCGGAGTCTCTATTGCTGTCATTGTGA